GCCCTTGTCATGAGGTCTCCACTCTCACATATTAATGTCACTATCAAAAAGGCCTGCAGGAATGGGTTTGCTCTCCTTGCCACATGTGCCATGTGACCCTCTACAGGGTGCTATATTCAAGAGGCCATTCTGGAAGCAGAGACTGGGTCCTCAGCTGACTTCAGACCAAAGGTGAGTGCCTGAATCTTGGACTTCCCAGCATCCAGAATAAAGAGGAAATAAATTCATATTCTTTATAAATTCCTCAGTCTTAGGAATGTTGATACAGCCACACAAATAGATTAAAACATGAAACTACCCTTTTCATTTATTTACCTATTCAGTAAATATTTGTTATCTATACATTATGTCCTACAAAAGAGGATGCAATGATGCCTGGGGCTTTTCCACAAGGAATTTACATTTTAAAATAGAATGCCGTTCCATCTCTGGTCATGATAGTCACTTGTGAAAGGTTACCCAATCTACTGTGGAAAATACTTCTTGGAAGGTGTGACACTGAATGTCTTTAAGTATGACTAAAATTTAATCTGGCAAACAAAAGAGGAAGAGCAGTGCAAACAAATTTTAAGGACTGCATTCACAGAGTTAATACCAAGGGATCTGCTGAAAACTCTAAACCATATGATTTTACTTAGAGTTGTCCCTAAATTTGTCAGTCTCTGGTGACAGAGTTTTTAACACATGGTTGTGTTAGATTCCACTAGAAAGTGCTTTTGCAGGCATTTTGTCAGATATACTTTTCAGGACTGGAAGTAAGGAGAATAATTAAACATATGGGCTCTTAAACAGGAGGTCTTAAACTCCTACAAGGGTTCTGGGTAGATTTTAGCGTTATCAGCTACAATGTAATCAACAGAAACGATGCTATGATTTATGTTGCGTTTTAGTTAAGTCCTCTTAAAATACTGTTTACTTATTTATTCTTAATGGTGGTAAGAAGCAGATGGCATATAGTTCAGTGGTGTTAAGTATATTTACATTGTGTGCAGGAGATCGCCAGAACTTCCTCATTTGCAAAGTAGGAGCGGTATTCCAATTCCCAGCAGCTTCTCATTTCTCAGTACCCCCAGCTCCTAGTAACCACCATTCTCCATTCTGCTTCTGTAGGTCTAACTACTTAGAATATTTGAAATAAATGGAATCACACAATACCTGTCTTTCTGTGATTGACTTATTTCCTTTAGAATAGTGCTTCAAGTTTCATCCATGTTGTAGGATGTGGCTAGATTTCCTTCTTGAAGGCTCAATAATATTCCGTTGTATGTATATATCGTATTTTCCTTATCCATTCAAATCTTCTTGAACATCTGGGCCCCTTCTACCTCTTGGCAAATGTGAATAATGCTGCTATGAAGATGGATATGTGGACATTTCTTTGAGACTTTCATTTTGTTTGGATATGTACCCGGAAGTTGTATTGCCAGATCACATATGCTAAATCTATTTTTAATTTTTGATGAACCACCATCATATTTTCCATGGTGGTTGTACCATTTTACAAACCCAGCAAGAGTCCCTTCTTCTTTCCCTTCTTACAACCCTGAATAATTGATTTCCTTTCTTCCTCTCTCCCTTTCTTCTTCTTTTTATTTTTTATTTTAATAGTAGTCAACCTAACGGTGAGAGATGATTTCATTGTGGTTTTGATTTATTTCCTCTCCCTAATGGTTAGTGATGCTGAACATCTTTTATATGTTTGCTGATCATTTGTATGCCATTTTTGGAGAAATTTCTATGTGACTCTTGCTCACTTTTTAATTGGGTGTTTTTTGTGATTGAGTTGTAGAAGTTCATCATATTCTGGATTTAATACCTTATCAGACATATGATTTCCAAATATTTTTGACATTCTGTAGGTGGCATTTCATTCTGTTGATAACATCTTTTGATGCACAGACATGTTTCAGGTTGATGAGTCCCATTTATCAATTTTTGCTTTTTAACAAATCTGTGCTGTTGCTGTTATATCCAATAAATTATTGCCAATTCCAATGTTATAATGCTTTCCTCCATGCTTTCTTCTAGGAGTTGAATAGTTTTAGAACTTATATAAGTGTAGTTCTTTAATCCAATTTAAGTTAATTTTTGTACATGGCAATGATAAATGATCAACTTCAATCATTTGCATGTGGGTATCTAGTTTCCCTAACAGTATTTCTAAAGGGGACTGTTCTTTATAAAATTATGTCTATCACTTCTTCAAAATTATATTATATATTAATACTACTGTTATAATTCTTAACTTAATATACTAATGAAGAAACATTACTATATCGCATGCCTATTATTAAGTATGTTGATAAATATATTTCAATATAATTTATATTCTCTGTAATCCTTTGTAATTTATTTTTGTACTTAGTGATTTTTATTTATTATGTCTTAAGGCATTTATTTTGTTTTATTTAATCATTTAAAATATTATAAGATGGGGCTGGCACTGTGGCATAGTGGGTAAAGCAGCTGCCTGCAGTACCGGGTTCCCATATGGGCACTGGTTTGAGTCCCGGTTGCTCCACTTCTGATCCAGCTCTCTGCTATGGCCTAGGAAAGCAGTGGAAGATGACCCAAGTCCTTGTGCCCCTGCACCTACATGGGAGCCCAGGAAGAAGCTCCTGGCTCCTGGCTTTGGATCCACCCAGCTCTGTCCATTGTGGCCATTTGTGGAATGAATTAGCAGATTGAAGACCTTTCTCTCTCTCTCTCTCTCTCTCTCTCTCTCTCTGCTTCTGCCTCTCTGTAAATCTGCTTTTCAAACACATAAATAAGGGGCCAGCACCTCGCTCCTGGCTTTGGATTGGCACAGCTCTGGCCATTGTGGCCATCTGGGGAGAGAAACAACAGGTGGAAGACCTCTCTCTCTGTGTCTCTACCTCTCTCTGTAACTCTGTCTTTCAAATAAATAAAACAAAGCTTTAAAAGAACAAAAACATAAATAAATCTTAAAAAATAAAGTATTATAAGAAGGGGAGAACAAGCTTCCCCAGAATACTACAAAGATCTGTGGCTTCAAAATGTTTCAAAAATTCAGAGAGCATTTTAGTAACTCAGGAATCGGATGAACTCTTGAACTAAGGCAAATGTTGTAATAAATATGTAAAATAAATATATGGCCAAAAATCAATACAACTTAGTGATCAAATGCCAAAACCAATGAGAAAGTGAAGTCAATGATGACCACTGAAAGTTTAACTTGGGTGACTGGTTGGTGGTGTGTAGTCCTGGGAGTCATGAGATCACTAACAGAAAGGTGGAGGAAGACAATAACTCAGGATAAAACACTAGGATACCAAAATTCAAAGAATAGACCATTCATTATTATCATCTATATTATCATGTAGTATATACAATGTGTCAACAGAGAGAACTACTATATGAGCAATAAAACTTTCAGAAGCAATTGGTGGTTAATTTGTGAAGGATCGCTTGTTATGAATCTACTCTGCATTTATAATTTTTGCACCTGCAATTATTTGCATGCAAAAAAATGCTGCCGCAGTTGCCTAATTATAGACACAAGCATCCAAATTTGCCCTCTAAAAGAACAGAATAAAGAGATACCATCTGTGAATGTGCAGAAAACCCCTCAGACCTTCCCTGCTCCAAATCCTGTAAGGCATGTGGGAATATTTCCCTTTTGGCTTCTGTCTTAGGCTTTATTTTTGGCTGATGTCATTCATGCATAACAAAGTAGTCATTCTGATAAGTTGAGTGTCAGCAGGCCTTTCCTCTTGCTCATCCAATATACTTTCCCATCCCCCACATATGGTATGCACCATAGGATGAGCAGACTGAAAGCAGAAGCCATTTCTGAAACGTATCATTTTCCTTGTTAGTGTAAGCCAGCTCATTTTTTTATTCATATATGTTTTTACAAGGTAGGCAGCTTGAATACTGTAAAGACGAAAATGCTAAACAAATTTCTTCTCAATGGTGACAAGAAAATTATATTTCTCTACTTAAAAAAGTTTTAGCCATTTATTAAAAACACAGCTGTCAGGTTTGATCAAATATATTCATATTTCCCCATCATATTATTAGGGCCATGATGAAATTTAATAATTGTCCCTTGATATTTGATTTCCTACAAAGCATCATAACACAATCAGCACCATAGCAATAATTACTGAACTATGTGGAGACAGATAAGATTTCAGGTGGGAAATATGTAATAATAGATGAGAAACATAAAACCCAGGTTAACACTTGATAAAAATTCTAGTCTGATACAAATGTCAGTAAAAATAAATGTGAGGACAACAGAGGCTGCGTTAGGAAATGAAACAGACTGCAGACAGAATAATTTTCAAAGATTTTAACGAGGGTTCAAATATTATTTGCTTACTATTTAATCACATTAAACACTTCAAATTTGATAAATCCTCTGATAGAAACAACATCCATCTTAAAAATGGAAAATTCCTCAGATTATTAAGCTAATGACTAAAATAAGAATATAACATATATTTCTTCCATATTAACTCTGTATTTATCCTCTTTTTTAGTATTTGAAGTTATCAAAAAATATTACCATGAAGTTTTTAGGGCTAAATGAAAGCTTAGGAATTCTAAAATGTTTACCTGTTACTTATTTACTTACTTACATAAATTAGAGCAACTAGGAAGGTACATTTTTTGTCCTACTATTTTTATTTCAGTATAGAAATACTAAGCGTTGACACAGTCGTTAGGCACCAGCCTTACCTTTATGGATAATGGGGCACCTGTTTGGACACTGACATAAGACAATATAAATGGAATTCAGCCAAGAAGAACAAGGTGAAGAAAATGAGAATGTGTGAAGGGGAAACATCATTCCAGAAAGAGAATTAATTAGAAGTAAATGTTTGACCAGCCATCTGTTCTGTCATATGCATCTCAGCATTTCAATGGATGCAAAGTTCAAAATATTATGAATGATATAATAAAGGTGAGCCATTCATTTTCACTGGAAGTGTCAGAACATTGGAAACATTAAAAAGGGTGAAGCTACTCACATCCTGAGCTACCATTTGTTGACACCAGAGTCAAATTCGAAGGCCATGGATTCCGAACAATGTCTTGCCAATGAATTGTGTCTGCATAACAAAGGAATTTGTTCTGGTCCACATAGACACCCCCATTCAGGATTTCTGTATTAAAAAGAAGAAAATTTGTGGTCAAAATGCTTATAGGTGAAATAAAAATCAACAAAAATGATTTGCTCTTAAACTATTTTCAATGTTAAATCAGTTACACCGTTAACAGACATGAGATCTTTTAAAGTATCTTTCACTGAGTCATATATATTAGTTGCAGAAATTTGCCAAGATAGAATAATACACAAGAAAAAAAGTAACTCATAATTGTAACACTAAGGCAGAAGTACTGTTAACATTTTGGTACAGGATACTGTTTCTTTTTGCTTTTCCTCTGAAATTGTAATAATATTTTATTTTTTTAAATTTTATTAAAGTTTCACGTATGTCATACATGCAGATTTAGGAACATAATGACACTTCCCCCTTACCCTCCTTCCTGCTCACACTCTAACCCTTCCTCCTCCTCATAGTATTTCATAACCTACAAGTTTCATTTGATATGATGCAGTGGATATTTAATGACAATTATCTACTGTTCTATATTATTTAATGAGAATATGACACACCAGAATATAAATTAGATGGAAATTATCTGATAAATCAATTCTTGTTGGTCATATACTTATCACTGATGAGTCTTTGATATAGCTTTCATGGGGCAGGCATTTGGTGCAGTGGTTAAGCTGCTACATGGATGACCATTTCCCATTTGGGAATACCTCACTTTAAGTCCTGGCTTTGCTCTCCATTTAGCTTCCTACTAATGTACAACTTGAGAAGAAGCAGGTAATGGTCTCCTACCATCCATGTAGCAGAGCTAGAATGAGTTTCCATTTTCTGGTTTCAGCCTTTCCCAGCTCTGATGTGGTGGGCATTTGGAAAGTTAACCAGCATATGCGAGATCTCTCTCTCTCTCCTTCTCTGTGCATGCCTCTTTATTTAAAAAACTAATAACTAAATTATTTTTTTAAATTTTGCAAGTTTATTTTAATGTAATATAATGCAAATATTTTAATATTTTTGGTACAAGTTGTCAACTGTACTTGAAAAAAGATTATTTCAGTTAATAAAACACTGATTGTAGTCAGTAGTAAGGAATTAGCATGAGGCAGAAGCTAAAATTAATGCTTCCAATCACAAAATTATTATTTATAATCACACATGGAATAAAAGAATGGCCAATTATTGATCAAGGATAACACAAAATATTATACAAACTCTATAGTTCCTTGAAACATGGGCATGGCTGTGAGATAAAATTCAGTAAAACCAATTTCTAGGTAATTCCCTCTCTCACAACATTGTCCTTTACTGACAAACTTGTCCCCTCTGAACAGTGTCTGATCACATCTGTGGATTGTCTTCCAGATTGTTTTAAATTATTCAGAAGAAAAGTAAAATATTTCCTCTGGAAGTACTACTCTTAGTTGAAAAAATTGGCTGAAACGCATACATAGAAATTTGCTGTCCAATATCCACATTTCCTTCTCTTGTCTCCTACAAAAAACAGATTTAAGTATTCAGTTACAAATATTAAATCCCAATTAACAGTAGTTTATATAGATTGGGGATTATTTTTTCTCAAATACTAAGAAGTCAGTTCAGGTTCTTCGCCACGCCTATTTTCTGCTCTGTCATTCTGTGTGATGTTTATATTCATTCCAGGCACAAGGTTGGTGCTATATGTAAAGACATCCAAACTGAAGGCAGGATGAAGACAGAAATGCAAGCAGGTGCCATCTTCCCCGTGAAGCTTTTTGTATTTGGGAATAGATGTTTTTCTACTCCAGGGCTATTTTTGCATTTCATTGGCTTGAACAATATCCCATGGCTACCCTTACTGTGAGAATGACTGAATTAACTAGAAGTTAGTGAGGAAGATCTACACTTTCTCTGTCTCCTATGGTAGGCTTGAGAAAACATCTCCTGTATAATACCCCAAGAATGAAACAGCATGTTGTAGAACAAAATGATAGAACAAGAGAGGTTTGTGAAATGAAATTAGTGAGCACATCCAAAGTGCTGTACTGTATTGTATGCATAAGTCTTCCAGATTAATTGTTATATAGCAAGGTTTGCTACATTTAAAATCACTCATATAGCATCATCCTTCCACTGACTTTTGGCATCATTTTTTTAGGTAAGGAAAAATATAAAAAGAAACAAAAAAGAAATTAGATCGTCTTTTTACTTTTAAAACCCAGTTCATTATTTTTCATGGCCTAACCATACAACCTTCATCAAAGCAGAAGGGAGATGTAAGACATAAAAGAGATTGTGAAAATGGATTTCTACATTAATGTTTGGCATTAAGTTTCCATCTAAGAAATGTGACAATCTCATACTAATAGCTTTCTCATGAGACATTAGGTGATGCTCCTCTGCTCTACGAATAATTCTTCATTTGGTGACAAAAAAAGGAGATTTTGACTGCTATCCAGGAAATGACAGCTATTTTTCAGTATACATTTGCAAAAGTTCTATTTTAGAAAAACCGAAGAGAAAGGTAATAGCTCCAACATGGAGAGAGTCTATTTTTCAGGAGTAACATTTTAATACAAATAGTTCTCACTGAAGGAACACGGTATCAATCTCCAACTTCCTATCTAAAAAATTTGAAATTGAATCAGATTATATTATAATGAATAATAATATTATAAAATCCCTTCCTTCATCAAGGTTAATCTGTTACCAATATTGACATTTGTTTCTTGGAAATACGCTGTATAAGAGCTTGGCTTATACTTGGAAAAGAGATTTAGAAAACAGATCATAATAACTCAAGTATAATCTTACATGTTAAAATTGCATATTAAGATACAATCATGATCAATCTAGACAATACTTTTATCATCCCAAATGCAAAATCCAACATCTGCTAGCAATTCTGGTCAGGAGGATTTATACATTTTTAGCACTTGATGATAGTTTATCTCTCTGTGTTTATGTTTTCCATGAAAATAATCTTTTTTTCCTTTGTGTTTGGCATAGACTCTACTGTAATGTTGAATAACAAAGCCCAACAATAAGAGAAATTAGGTTTCTACTGATATACATAGGAGAGTTTTAATAGATGCTTCATCTTAAATATTATTACCTAAATATTTGCCAGGAAATAATGCTACATTCACACTCATACATTTTTAGTAAAGTTTTTAAAACTTTATAGCTTAACAAATATTCTTAGATTAATTTAATATGTATTGTGAGAAGACATTCTATTTGGTTTAATCCTGTATGAAGAAAATTCTCAGGAATGGATACTGATCTGTAAGAAAGCTCTTATAGATACAAAATATTCACTCAACAGAGGGACAGCTAATATTTATGTCTTGGATGACTACAGCAGTTTGACTATAATTTTAGGCAAGGGAAAAAGGTAAGAATTATATAAAGAGAAAAACTTGAGAAGATATTTTTCTAACAAGATACAAGAAAAATGAATAGCTATATTTTAATCTGTCTGTGGTAATGCACAAGTACAGCAAACTTTTCAATGAACTTTATTAAAGATATATTGGAAGGAGTAATTTGTGTTATAATAAAAAGCTTGCTTCCTATTCACATGAAATTGAGTGACTAATAATGAAATTTTAAGACCAGGATAAAAAAATCAAGAGGGTTTTTAGAACTAAGGAATACAGGCAAATAATGCATCCATTTAATTGATATTCAAAGGTGCATAAATCCTGGAAGTATGCAGGGACACAAAAAAGTGTTGACCAATTGACTGAGATCAAGGTGATGCCATTCCAGTCCATTTCAATTCCACTGTAAAAAATATATTAATGTAAATTAGTAGAGACACAAATAGATTCATAGCTGCTATGAAGTGGAGGATGGCCCAGGTGCTTGGGCTCTGCACCCACATGGGAGACCAGGAGAAGCACCTGGCTCCTGGATTTGGATCGGCACAGCACGCCAGCCTCAACGCGCTGGCCTTAGTGGCCACTTGGGGAGTGAACCAATGGAAAAAGGAAGACCTTTCTCTCTGTCTTTCTCTCTCACTGTCTAATTCTGCCTGTCAAAAAAAAAAAAAAGCTGCTATGAGTTTTCTTATCATATTATATAAAATATTTCCAGTGAGTTCATAAAACACAACTGTCTCTTCTTGATAAATATCATGGTTAAATATAGTAAGATATATTAGATATGGCACTCTATGAAAAAAGTATCAATTTATTACTGACGAATTCCAGAAAACACTTAAATATGTTTGTGTCTCAAACATTTCCTACTAGATTAATGCATGCCAGTCAAGTAAAAGATGTCAGGAATCTTTTTTGTTTTGTTTTTAGAGAAAGTAAATTGTAATCCACACTAATCTCCAATATGTTGAGTATAATTTATGTAGAGCATACACTTGTAACTGAAATATAATAACATTGAACTCCACGAAGGCAAGAACATATTTTTCAGTGCTGTATCAATAGATTCAAACCTGCACTAATGGTTATTCAATGAATACTTAAATTTAACCAGAAAAAAGTACCATGGATCTGATATGTACTTAAAATTAATTTCTGTTGTAATTCCTAATATATAAACTTTATTGAAAGCAAATCATAATAAGAATTAAAGTTACCTTCTCCCATAATCATTCTTTAGGTCACCATAACTGATTTTATGTTTCATTAAATTAGAGGCTATTTCCATTTTGTTCAAAATTGTATCCCCACTAAATACAAATCCCAAGGAGATATACTATAAATACTTGCTGATGTAAAAAAAAATGTATGTACCTATCTACGGAAGATATAAGCTGGGAGGTAAAGGGAAAGAACAATCAAGCTCTCAGTAGGGATGCCCTCTTCCCATACCCATGTTACTGGGGTCAAGTCCTGGTTCTATTCCAGTGGATGAAAATGCCATGTCTGTCTGTCTATCTGTCTGTCTGTCTCCCTCTCACCCTCTTGCCCTCCCTCACTTTCTTCCCCTCTCCTTCCCATTCTTCCTCTCTCCCTTTCAAATAAATAAATAAATAAATAAATACTTTAAAAAGGCTGGAAGTACCAATATGTCATCTGAAAGAGAATGTAAAGTGCTTGTGT